GTAAACCACAACACAACGGTCCAACCACCCTCTCAAAGGTGAACGAAGATTACCCGTAACATGACCAACATCTCGTCGCCGCTATCGCAGGCTAGCCGTAAACCCTTAAACCGAGTGGAAAGAAGACGTATATATCGCAAACTAGCCACAACAAAACCTGACAGCCGCTTAGTTAAAGGCAAAAAAATTTTTTTTTAATTACCCAGCAGGTACCCGGGCGGGCAATGAAACAAACAATTATTTGACTGTTGCTGGAGCTACGTCATTCGTGGTTTGTGCGATTTTATGACAAAAAAAAACGCTTTGAGTCAGAGGCAGCGTTGTGTGAAAATTTGAAAGCAATCGGTTCAGTAGTTTCCGAGTTTAGAGCTAACGACATCTGAAAATTAATATTTTTATTATTATAGATTTGGAATAACAACTGCAGTGTCTAGGAAACAGCAGCTTATGTAACTGCCCTTTACTAGGGCAATGTTGGTCAACATTGAGCTAGAACAGATTAGAACTGTTGAACTGTAGAATTTACTGAAAGCATAGACTTGATTACGCTAGCCGCGGAGCCAGACTTTTTTCAAAAATGACCTTGGCTCCTAGGTCGACCCAGCTTTGAGTTGGTACCAGGTGCAGTCCCAGGAAGTAAAAGTGGCCGCTGGGATGCTGACCATATCACCTATCTTGTGCTGTGGTCTAAAAAAAATAGGTCCAGCCCTATATGCCCTATTTGCCTAAAGGCGTGAAAAAGGGTCCTTTACTTTACTTATAGACTCCTACCACATGCCTTTGGGCAGGCAGTGGGTCTATTCTTGTTCTCCCCACAATGGGGCCCCAAAACTTACACTGGGACCAAAGAAAATGAAATAGAAAAAAACTAACAGCCAAAAAATTGGAGAGGTTGGTATTGTAGCATTCTGTAAAGGACACAACTAACTGTTTTTGTTTAACGTGTTAAAATCCTGTCCTAGGGAACATCGTCATGCATTGAAAGGGCCAAGACAAATGCAGCAGCCTTCCTGCAGAAGCAGATGTACTCTCTCTCACAGGAGGATATATTCTTCATGGCCATCACAGCCTACGCTTTGACCTTGACGTCCGTGCAGAATGACCTTGTTGATAAACTCTGGCTTCTCAGGCGCAATGACTGTAGGTTATTTGTTTGTTATTTTTTTGTTTTATGTTGTTTCCCACTTCTTCTTCTCCAGTATTATGAGTCCTTGAGGTTCATTGCCTCAGATGTCACTCACTTCTTTTTCTTTCCATGATTGGCATTTTTTTTTCTCCAGTTGGTGACTCCAAGTGTTTGTAGGTCTGCCTGGATGTTTCTCCAAGTGTTTGTAGGTCTGCCTGGATGTTTCTCCACGTGTTTGTAGGTCTGCCTGGATGTTTCTCCAAGTGTTTGTAGGTCTGCCTGGATGTTTCTCCAAGTTTTTGTAGGTCTGCCTGGATGTTTCTTCATCTTCTTCATGGTCTGCCTCTTGCTAAACTCCTAGTTAGTGTTTTCTGCTGTTTTGTTTTCCATTCATTATCCTGTTGTGCCACACTACGTCACATAGGGCTTGCAGTCTCTTCCTCCCTTCCATTCCTTCCTGTGCAATCACTTTGATATCATGGATAGAATCCAGTCCAACATCTCGCCAGCAGTACCCTTGGATGTCCACAGCCCCTCTGTCTGTTTGGTGATTCTCTGCTTGTTTCTCTCCAGGGTGTGTCCAATGTAACACCATCTTTCCACTTACATTTGTGAAAGTATTTCATCCTGTTACAGTGGCTATTTTATTTTTATATATATTACTTCCCCGTGTGGGTTCCGGGGCCCTGTTATAGGGAAAACAAGAATAGACCAACTGTCTAGCCAAAAAGAAGGTCGTAAGAGTCGACTAATTGGGAGCTTCCTTCAAAGTCGAAGTGCATCTGCCTGAGAGACAAGGAACCAACAGTCTGCATACAAATTAGTCATATCTGTCAAACGGATGCACATGCAACACTCAAGTTCTGGAACAGGACTGCAGTCCAGAAGTGGACAAAAAAACCTGAACTTTCTGCCAGTGTTTACAGCTGGTGAACGCAAAAAAAAAATAAGAAAAAGATATATATTACTAAACTTTAATTAGCTATAATATTTTTGTGAAGACTGATTCTTCTTTTGGCTATAATTAAGTACAGAGTAGGGGTTAATTGTTATTTTGTTTTCAAAACTATATTGACATCGTATAACTTGGACACAGAATGAAAAATAACTATAAGTAAGCTGGCTTATCTTCATTGGAGACATTCTTAAACAATTAGTGCAGGTGACCTTCAAGGTGACAGTGGGATCTGACCTTATCTGAGTTATAAGTTTTATGTCTCTTTTGATTGATGGTGGAATGATGTGGTTTTATGAATTACCGTTGAATGTTAGAGGAAACATCAGTTCACATTAATAAAAGGTAGGAAGCGGTTCTTGGATGGCTGAGATGGGAAACCCCGATAGAAAGTAGGACATGATGGTATGAGGACTGTAATTTCCACTAGTTAATAATGGTTATACTGTTTGCTGACGACCAGTGCTTGTTCTACCCTGAAGAAGATAGACTGCAAGACCACATTAACAGGTTAAACTCAGCATGTAGTAAATACAACATGAAGATCAATGTAAAACAAAAACTGAAACAATGCAAGTAGTAGACATTTCTGCCCCATACCTACACCGCTACAGCTGAATGTTCTGCCCTGAATCAAATTAGGGAGTTCAAATATCTAGGAAGTTATGATCACAGAGGATGGTAGAATTGACAGAGAAATAGAAACCAGATGTCAGAAAGCAAGTGCACTTATATACCCAATTGTCACCATTATTAGGGACATCCAAGCATAAACTATGAGTGCAAAGAGACAGATTATTAAATAGCATATTTATTCCAACATTAAGCTAACAGTGCCAAACATGGACACTATCTAAAGCCCACATACGCAAAATTACCATCTGCGAGATGAGGTGCCTGAGAAAAGCAGCCAACCTAACCATACGAGATCGAGTGAATAATGAAACTATCAGGCAATTTGTGGGAACGACACCTTGTACTAGATTCATCGAGAAACAGCAGATCAAGTGGTTTGGCCATCTCGTTAGAATGCAGCAAGATCAAATACCATCACAAGCACTACATCTCAGAAGATCAACTACAAGAACAAGAGGAAAACATGGATCGACAACATTAAAGACACTCTACGCCTTCACGGCATGACAATAGACAGTGGCAGCCAACATGCACTGGATCGCAAATTATTCCTCCTCGCGACGCTTAACGGCAGTAGTGGTTCATGATGATGATGAATAATGGTTAGGGTTACCATCATTGTCATATTTGTAATATAGTAAAAGTAAAGTAAAGATCCCTTTTCACGCCTTTAGGCACATCGGGCATATGTGAAGAGCGTCCATTTTTTTACAGACCAATCGGCACTAGGTTGGTAATGAGGTCAGCATTACGCTGGTCGTCTTTACTTCCCAAGGAAATACCCATTTTTTGGCTGGGTCGACCTCCGACGCCCCATACCATGATAAAAATCCATGCTTGTAATTTAATGCTGGACCTATATTTTTATAGCCCAATTGGCAGTCAGTGGGTGATGTTATCAGTGCCATCCTCACCTCCTTGACCTTCCAGGACATTTCCTAATACGTGTTTTAGGCTGGGTGAACTCGGGAATCCAGATTGTCTAGAAGTCTGCATTGGTGCTATTTTGAACCCAAAGCCTCAGGACTTGGATGCAAGTGTCCACTCACTGTGCTACCTTAGCTACCTAAGTTAATATTGCTTACATTATTTTATTGTTGTCTTTTTATTGTTGTCCAGATGTCTGTCTAACTCTTTCAGTCCTAAACAGTTGTTGTTACTGAAATTTGTTTTATTCTAAGCAGTTTCTGCTTGAAACATACAAGTTGGGTTTAAAGTAGTTGCAATAGTAATCATTTTAGACAGCAAAACTGATCGCAACACTTGGTACAGGTGGGTCAGTACAAGAGCTGGATGGGGCAGTCTGAGTTAAGTAAAGCGGATTATGTGAGGAGTTATCTATAAATATGTGGTGAGTGGGTGCAGGAGTGGCCAGAAGAGATAAAATAAGGAATGAGGTCATAAGAGAAAAGGTTGGCGCAGAACCAATTCTAAATTACACACAAAGACAGCAGATCAAATGGTTTGCCCACTTTGAGAGATTACCTGTGACGTCATACCATTACCAGGCATACACGACAAGAGGAGGAGGCAGAGCACGAGGTAGACCCAGTACAAAATAGAAAGATAACATCAGAGAAACTTTAGAACAGCATGATGTGTTTGTGGTCAAGGCAGCCAGAAGAGCACAAATCATAACGTTTTATCTCCCTCGATACCCAAAGCATACAAGAGAAAGTGAAAGAAAGAGGAAGAAGAGCTGCTTGGTAATGAAATAGTTAAGCAACTTAACCAACATAAGCACAGGCTTCGTCTAAGTAGTTCACCTTTGTGCCCTTGTGGGCTATGTGTGTGCAGACTAAAGAACATGTCCTGCAAGACTGTCCCTTGTTCAGCCCATTAAGAAGAGAATAGTAGCCCAGTGAGTCACCACTGCACACAAAGTTTTATGGGACTAAAAAGGAACGCATAAAAACAGTCAAGAACCTGTCTGTCGATGTAAAACAGAAAGCAAACACAAGAAGAAGAAATAGTTAAGCTTACTATGTACATCTTTTTTTTCGGGGGGAGGGGGGGGGGTGGCCTTTTTCAACTTAACTTCCTGATTTTACTTTGTTCTATAAATTTTTTCTTCCAGCTGACTTCACATATTTTGCTGATCAGTTGGTCTATGAGAATCCATCAGCAATCCAGAACAATGTCCGTTACCTCATGCCCCGCCAAGAGCTGCTGAACGATGCCTACGCTGTACAGACAACAGCTTATGCCTTGATGGCTCATCTAAATGCCTATGCCCTGGTTGACGAGAGCCACCCCAACCGCTCCTTGAAGGTTGAGAGGGATATGACAGTCAATTGGCTGAACACAATGAGAAATTCGTTTGCTGGATTTTCCTCAACCCAGGTCAGTCATGAGAACATTACTTCAGAGATGGTGTGTTATTGTTACATCAAAGCTATGCTTTTATTACATTTGAACTGTTTTTGTTACATTAAAACTGCTTTTGTTACAATTATACTGTTTTTGTTACATTGAAACTGTGCTTTTGTTACATTTGAACTGTTTTTGTTACATTGAAACTGCTTTTGTTAGATTCAAGCTCTTTGGTTTAATAATATTGATAATATTGGAGGTCTCCATCAAAAGGTAAGGACCCTTTCTGTGCTAGTCGTCTGTTGGGCATATGATGCTAGCCTCATTTGAATGTTGAATTAAGAATCGACATCATAGCACTTGGGACACTCCCATGAGTGCTCCATCCCCATCTTCAGCAGCAAGCAAAGAGTTCCATTTCCAGTGGTAACAGTGCTAGACTCATTTTTTTTATGGACCAGTCGGCACTCGGTGGGAAACATGGACAACATTGCACTGGCGATCTTTACTTCTCAGGACACTAGCTGGTACCCATTTGAGGCTTGATCAACCTGAAGCAATGGTAAATTGTGGGAGGAAAAAATTATTACCATGAAATGGATTTCTTCTTCTTCTTCGCGTTCACCAGCTGTACACTCTGGTGGAAAGTTCTGGTTGTTCGTCCACTTCTGAACTGCAGTCCTGCTCCAGAACCTGAGTGTTGCATGTGCATCAGTTTTACAGATCTGATTCACTTGAACCAGACTGTTGGTTCCTTGCCTCTCAGGCAGATGCACTCCGACTTCAAAAGAAGCTCCCCAATTAGTCGACTCTTACGACATGCTTTTGGGTAGGTGTCATGAGATGAGCAGCCACCATACACAGTGGGCGAGTCGGGACTTGATATCCCTCGCGCTCAGCAAGATTTCAAACTTAGACCCATCCGGAAAGGTAAATAGTCCCTTATATTGATCTATACCTTTATCTGGTAGAATATTCATTTCTAGACCTTCTAGTTGCTTTGATAAATCTTCATTTTCAAACTTGCAACAATAGGTTGGCGAATTCTGGTATTTTATTTAGAAATTCCTGTCAACCGGTTTACTCCTTGTTCATGAATACAAGGAACTTCTTTCCTAGTGACGCGGGTTTGAATTTGAGAACGATTCTTTCACCTGATCCCAAAGTGTCAAGACGTGTATCCAGTCTTAAAAGAATTTGGCGCATTCATAGTTCCAGTTCTAACTTGGAAGATTTCCTAAGCTTGGGATGAGACCTCTGTAGAGATCAGGCAGACGAATCACAGTCCAGCCAACAACCACCAACCCATACCATTCTATGCACCAAGCATAACCATGTCCTACCCTGTATGCCACTACCTCAACATGGCAAGAGCGTGTTTGTGAGCTCTAGAACGAGTGAACATTTGCAGACGCTGTGTCATCAATCTAGTGAACCAGTCTTCAAGAGCTTGGTTGGGCTCTGAGACAGTTTTTGTGACCTGACCTGTGAGAGAGACTTGTTGAGTCCCTATGCAGTTTCTGTGTCCTCGATGGTGAGGAAATCAAGTGGTACCAGATCAACTAGAGGCAGAGATACCTGAGTCAACTACAGTCGAATCACTATGGACTGAGGGGAGCATCGACCTACGAACTGGGCTAAGTGATCGTTTAATCAGCATTATGCTCTCTTCCTTATACTCGCTCGAGATTCCAGTGATGAACTCATGTACATCTCAAGGCAATCTGGCTGCTTCAATATCTGGGTCGAGTCATTGTTTCCTAAGCTCCATCCACTGAGATCTGGTTTATCTATTCACTATTTTATGTATATATTGTACTGATTACATGCATACATTTTCATGGCTGACTTGGGTGTCCCTATTTCACCATTCTGTCTAGCTTTGATGTTTGTGTGAGTAATAAGTGTTATCTGTGTTAACATGGTTATGATAGTAAACTATCATGACCTGGGGGCTATCTTTTTATAGTAGTGAGGGTGTCCAGCCAAGTGTGCCTAGGAATAATATATATTTTGTAGTGCCAAAACTTGAGTTGCCTACTCCTGAAATAAGTTGAGCGTATATTGGCCACGGGGCATCCCTTAGACCAATACGAGCCAACAACTCAACATAATTATTTCAGAGTGCTGTTGGTTCTTAAGGAGAAATCCTTAAATCAGGCACGCGACAGGAGTGATATGTGACAGTAGGCAGAGGGTCTATTCTTGTTTTCCCCACGATGGGGCCCCGGAACCCACACAGGGAGAAATGGATTTGAATCCTAGATCTTTGTGCCAGCAGGCAAACATCTGACCTCTACACTAAGTGGTTAATCCATTTGTTCAAGACAAAAAGGTTACATTCTTAATCTCGCATGCTTTCTTCTCTCTTACAGGATACCATTACAGCCATGGAAGCGTTGTATGCATACACTCTGAAAGACACAAACCGCAATGAGTTCGATATGACGGTGACTTTAGAGGCCACAAGCACACCAAACTGGCAGAGGGTAGGAAGACTGCTGAAAGAGGATTTCACACACCTGCACAGGTCTTATGTAAGTGAATTTGATGGCAAGTGTCATTTGTGGCATTTGATAAAAGATCAGCTTTCAAAGTGGTACATTCCACAACAGATATACATAGATGGTGATACCAAAGATGCCATAAAATGGAATGATAAAGTAGTTGACATTGTTTTGGCTGCTTTCATAGATGCAAAGAAATGAAGTAGAGATAGAAAGACACACCAGACAACACAAAAAGTAAGTTATAGTTGTAGGCACCTTGTCATCTTTCCATATTATAGGGTTATATCGTGCATTGAGGAGACACGGGACTCGCAGCCCATGGCAATGGCGAGTGTGACTAGCAAGACCCGCCTGCATTAAGGAAGGTTTTCCACAATTATAGCATGAGATTTCAGGACAACTGTTGTCAATATTTGTGTTTTGTGTGTTTCTTCTTATCCATTCTGCAATCATTTCTTCCTTCATTCTCATTCCCTTTCTGATTTGCCCCCCTCCACACAACATGGTCAATTACATTTTGTTTCTCCAAGTAAACCTCAATACCTGCATCATTCATGACCTGCTTGCACACATCTTTATATTGTAGTAGAGGTGGACCTGGACATATTCTACCCAGCTGTAATTTACCTTAGAGGTTATCCTTAGGAACTCTATCATCGTCCAGGTGGGACCCAGCCACCTGAGTGTTCGTAGATTGATCATTGAGAAAACCATTGTAATGCCTGCTCTTTCCAATACCTCAGTGTTTGTGGTCTTGTCTTGCTTCTTAATGCCAAGTATTCTTCTTAGGCATCAATGTTATAGTTACCATACCAGGAAATGAACCGGATTTTTCTTTCTCTCCATCATGCCCTTTTAATTACACTGGGATGCAGCGGTGCTAAACCACACATGGTGGAGCACCAGTACCAGGGCTTATACCAGTCAAGACTATCTACATTTCTTCGGGATTATTCTAGAAACAGGCTCCCAACTAGGGGCCTGGCCAGTATAGATGAATTTTTTTTTTTTTTTTAAAGTTGGAGCACATCTGCCTGAACCAATACACAAATAAGGCAAGAATCCAGGCAAGAGTATGTGTCTAATTTTATATACGAAAACGCCGCTGGAACTATGTCGGCCACGCCCTTAGAATGCATAAATCAAGACTTCCTTACCAAGCCCTCATTTGGACACCACAGGGGAAAAGATCTCGTGGAAGACCAAAGGAAACCCTACGTAGAACTATCATCAGGGAAGGCTCGCTCATGGGCCACTCAAACATCCAAGACCTACAACAGATTGCAGCGAACCGCCATACATGGAGAGTCATGACCTCTGCCCTATGTGCCGCACTTGACACAAGAGGAAAGACTAACTAACTAACTAACTAACATCTGCCTAAGAGGCAAGGACCAACAGTCTACATACAAATAAGTTGGGTCTGCAAAACGCATGTGCAAGCAACACTTAAGTCCTGGCACAAGACCAAAGTCCAGAAGCTGGTGAACAGCCAGGACTTTCCCTTGGAGTTTAGAGTCGGTAATCATGAAGAAGAGGAAGAAGAAATAATTACAATGACTCAGTTTAAAAGTTTTCTTATATATTAATTTACTCTTTAAGCTGTCATATTAATTTTTTTTTCAAACATTTTTGCAAATTTGAGTTTTTTTTATTTTAAGCTTCCAAATGAAGGTGTCTATGGCTATATTATTCCCACTGCTCAAGGTGTTGGACGCGCCATGCTACAGGTAGGAAATGTTTTCCGCAGACTGCTTTTCTTTTTAAAGTCAGAGTGCATCAGCCTAACAGGCAATGAGCCAACAGACTGCACACCCCTAGCCCAGATCTGTAAAACCAGTTTACTACAAAAGCCAAGTCCTGGAGAAAAACAAAAGTCCAGAAATAAACGAACAACCAGGACTTTTCACTAGAGTTTTCACATATGCCGGTGTGTTGGGAAATGAACAGCGGAGAGACTAGCTGGCTCTGCACAACTTAGTGAAATACTGATACATGATAAGGCAGACCTGGTTAGTGCCTTGTGGGAGAGCGTGTACAGTTTGGTGGAGCAAATGGATCACCACAGTCTGGTGAGACTGATGCAGGGGGGAGTGACGAGAGGTTCTGGCAGATGCTCGAGGCACAGAGGAAAGGCAAGACGGACATTTAATCAGAATGCTACTGGCACCATTGGTATCGGAACTCTTTGCTGGCAGCTGAAGATGGGGACGGAGCACTTATGGAAACGCCTCGAGTGCTGCGATGTCGGTTCTTGAATCAAATCAAATCACTAGAGTTTATAGCCAGTGCATGCAAACCAACAAAGATTTCCCATTTTTTATTTTCTTTATTTTAAATGTGACATTTAGGATATTTTTTATTTGTTCTGAATTGATAGTTACATCTTGTGTTGCATGTAGATATTTGACAAAGTTAATCTGTTCTTAATTGACGGTAACTTCTCATGTTGAATATAAACATTTGACAAAGTTTATTTCTTCTCAGTTGACCTAACATCTCCTTTTGAGCAGGAACACTTGATGTAGACACCGTTTATAAATTCTTAGTTGTCCTTAGTATCTAATGTTTAGTGTAAACATCCAATAAAGTTTACCTGTTCTCAGTTTACCGTCACATCTAATGTTTAGTATAAACATCCGATAAAGTTTACCTGTTCTCAGTTGGCTGTCACATCTAATGTTGAGTATAAACATCTGATAAGGTTCATCTGTTCTCAGTTGACTGTCACATCTAATGTTGAGCATAAACGTCTGATAAAGTTTACCTGTTCTCACTTGACCGTCGCATCTAATGTTTATAATAAACATCCGATAAAGTTCATCTGTTCTCAGTCGACTGTCACATCTAATGTTGAGCATAAACATTCAAATAAAGTTTATCTGTTTTCATTTGACAGTCACATCTAACTAATGTTGAACATAAACATCTGATCAAGTCTGTTCATTATCTGTTCTCAGTTGACAGTCACATCTAATGTAGAGTATAAACACCTGATGAAGTCTGTTCATTATCTGTTCTCAGTTGACAGTCACATCTAATGTAGAGTATAAACACCTGATGAAGTCTGTTCATTATCTGTTCTCAGTTGACAGTCACATCTAATGTAGAGTGTAAACACCTGATGAAGTCTGTTCATTATCTGTTCTCAGTTAACAGTCACATCTAATGTAGAGTATAAACACCTGATGAAGTCTGTTCATTATCTGTTCTCAGTTGACAGTCACATCTAATGTAGAGTATAAACACCTGATGAAGACCCAGCAGCGTTATGACAACCTACCAGAATCCGACCCCATACCTTTCTTTGATCTGACAGTGGAGCCTTTATGGGGTGGCCGTAACGACTCCATCATGCGTATGCATGCTTGTGTCAGGTATGTGTTGGCAGCTTAACTTGTCTTTTTCCATGATTTTACTGGTTTGCAGGGTCTGTATCTGTTCTAGTAAGTTATATATTGAATAGTAAATTAAAAATCAACATCATAGGGCTCAGAAAACCCCCATAAGTGCTCTGTTGCCATCTTCAGCATCAAACGAAGAGTTCCAATTCCGAGGGCACGAGTAACTGATTGTGAATCCATCTCACCTTTCTCCTGAGTGTTGAGTATCGGCCAAATCCCCTGGTAACTTAATTCTGAGTTATAATTATCTCTATCTATTTATTGTATATTATACTCATCTTTGTCTATTTGTTGTAATCATACGTCTGTTTCGTATTAAAATCATGGCAACAGTCATCATAGAGATTTTCAGTGACCTCCTTTAGAATCAGAGTACATCATCCGAGAGGCAAGAAAGAACACATTGCACACAAAAAAGCCAGTAAAACGGATGTCGACCTAAAACTCAGGCCTTGGTACAAAGCCAAAGTCAAGATGGATGAACAGTCAGGACTTTCTGCGGGAGTTTACAGCTGGGGAACAGAGCTTACAGCTGGGGAACAGAGTTTACAGCTGGGGAACAGAGTTTACAGCTGAGGAACAGAGCTTACAGCTGGGGAACAGAATTTACAGCTGGGGAACAGAGCTTACAGCTGGGGAACAGAGTTTACAGCTGGGGAACAGAGTTTACAGCTGGGGAACAGAGTTTACAGCTGGGGAACAGAGTTTACAGCTGGGGAACAGAGCTTATAGCTGGGGAACATACAGCTGGGGAACAGAGCTTACAGCTGGTGAACAGAGCTTACAGCTGGGGAACAGAGCTTACAGCTGGTGAACAGAGCTTATAGCTGGTGAACAGAGCTTACAGCTGGGGAACAGAGCTTACAGCTGGGGAACAGAGCTTACAGCTGGGGAACAGAGCTTACAGCTGGTGAACAGAGCTTATAGCTGGAGAACAGAGCTTGCTTACAGCTGGGGAACAGAGCTTACAGCTGGCGAACAAAGAAGATGAAGAGTATTATAATCAGCCATATTTATCTGTTGTGTATAATCATTCATATCTGTTTGTTGTGCATTTTAATGATCTAATCTGTTTATTGTGTATAATCATTATTATCTGTTTGTTGTGCATTGAATTATCCAATCTATTTATTGTGTATTGTCGGCTCTGTGGCTAAGTCGATGCGAACGCTTAGTAATGCCGGGGTGCCGGGTTCGATCCCAGCTGCAGGTCATGCACTTGCGTTGGTTTCGACAGTGGTTTCAGGGGGCCGACCGTCCAGAAGCAGTGGCAAAATACTGGATGTAAATTTGCCTAGAGAAACCACACGACAGCCGGGGGCTGCTGGGGTTGGTTCTGCAACGTCCTGTAAAGGATATGCAACTAACCTTTTTTTTTGTGTATTTGAATCATCCATGTCTGTTTATTTTACATTATAATCATTTGTGTCAAATTATTGTGCATTTTAGGCTAATCATCCAATCTATTTATTGTCTATTTCAATCAATTATATCTGTTTATTGTGTATTTTAATCATAGTATATATATCATATAATGCCGGGTTCGATCCCAGCTGCGGGCCATGCGCCTTGCGTTGGTTTCGACAGTGGTATCAAGAAAGCCGACTGTCCAGAACGGTCGTAAATTTGCCTAGAAAAACCACACAACAGTCAGAGGCTGTTGGAGTTGGTTCTGCAACGTCCTGTAAAGGATGCTTAACTAACCTTTTAACCTTTACAGAATGTTGCAGAACCGACCCCAGCATTTTTTGGTTGTTTGTGATTTCGCCGGGTAATTTTTACATTCATTCATTCATTCAATAGTCTGCCATTGCTTCCTGCATGGTCAGCTCTCGATACCGCTATCGAAACCAGCGCTAAGGGGTCTCCTGTTGGGATTGGCTGGGATTCAACCCTCCACCTCTTAATTACAAAACATGTTTGCAACTCCTAAGCCACAAACGTCAACAAACAAACTAATAGAAAAGAAGAAGAAGAAGAAGACTGAAGACAGATAAAGCAGAGAGGAACTGTTTTACTAAAAGCATGCTTTCAGTGAACTTTGTTTGAGATGTTGGTTGGTGTGTTCACAGTTGGCTGTACACGACACGGAGTCTTACCTCGGGTCTGGCTGTGCTAGAAGTGGAGACACCCACTGGTTACGTGGTCATGAATGACACTCTGAGAGATTATGTGCGCTCCAGGGCGGTGCGCAACCTGAGGAGGGCTGAATTTTATGGAAATAAAGTGGTTTTCTATTTTGATTATGTAAGTATTTATTAATGTTTTAATTAACTCTTTGAGTCCTAGGGGGTTTGGCATCACAGGCCCAAGGGGTAGTCAAGAAAGGCATAAAATCGGCGCATCTTGCATTCATTGGGCTTCTAGGTAGGAATCTATGAATGTATGACGCGTTTCTTGGGACTCAAAGAGTTGATACATTTGGAAGCCATGGTAACGTAGCAGCTAGACGCTTTACCTCCTGGCCCAAAGGTTGAGAGTTCAAATCTGCATTAAACTGGATTCCTTTTTTTTTTTTTTTTTTTTTAAAGAACTGACCTTTGCTCCCAGGTCAGCCCAGCCTAAAATGTTTACTGGGCAGTGTCCTGGGAAATAAAGGCAGCCAGCATAGTGTGACCACATCAACAGTAAAGTGCCAGTTGGTCTGTAAATCTACAGCTTTAGCATTGTATGTTTGATGCACCAAAAGGGCAAAGGGGTCCAATACTGATTCATGAATCTTTGAATCGTGATGGGATGGTGAATAAACAGTGCCAGCTCTTGTTAGCAGGGTACATGATGATGGTAAAGTATTTGTTAATTGTATAGCTCTTATTATGCTTCATGCGACCATTCTGGCATATGACTTAGTGCTCTTACTGTACAAGGGGAAGGTCAGGATATGGTCTTCGACAATGGTTAGATGTTTTTTTTAATTCTTAGAAAAAGGCTATGTGCTTGACTCAGCCTTGGAAAGTGAGGAGCGGCAAGGTATTTAGGCTTGGCATGGGTTAGTTCCGAGATCGAGTGAATAATACTGGTTTCTGCTGATTGTTGGAATAACATCTTGTACTAGATTCATGGGGAAACAGCAGATCAAGTTGTTCGGCCATCTCATTTGAATGCAGCAGCATCAGATACCATCACAGGCACTACATATGTGAAGATCAGCTACAAGAGCTAGAGGACAGCCACGAAAACTATTGATCGACAGCATTAAAGACACTTTACATATTCACAACATGACAGTAGCCAGTGCTAGCCAGCAAGCACTGGATCGCAAATTATTCCTCCCAACGACACTTAATGGCTGAAGTAGTTTATGATGATGATAATCGTGATGATGGGTTGTTTGAGAGGCTTTATGGTGGATAAAAGGCTAAAAAAGAAAGAGTGTAATAATCTGAGTACATGCATATGTGTAACTGTTTGAATGCAAAGGGTTAATTTAACTGTTGGAATGTGGGGGTTAAAATACCATTTTTAAATACATATGGTTAATGTGACGGTTAAAATATATGTGTCCCTTGAAGCAGTTGGATCACATTTAGTGCATATAAGTTGGATTACATAGTATAAGGAGTCATTTTTCTCATTGTTGGTAAATTCTCTCATTGTTTGAAAATGAGGACAACTACTTAACATAAATTATGTGCGAGAATCTGGATGGATGGCATTGATTACTAATTATAATGTATGTGTGAGCAGATCTGATGAGCGATACTAACTCGAGATAAATGTGCAGTTAGGTTGAAGTGTGCCATACGAGGAAACTATGAATTTGTAAGTGCACGAGAAATAGAATACATTATCTAAACTTGTAGCAATTAAGAAAGCTCAGTCTTGTTTTCACTCCGGTGAGAGTCCGGTCATGTGGCGCCTGCAGACTGTGAACTGAGTGTAACCATGAATAAGTGAACGTATGATCAAGCTGCCAGCCTGTTACCTGAGAAAACCTGGCTATGCTCCTAGCTCCTGTCACATTGGAATGGCTGAACATCGTTTGCTGTGAGTTTGAGTAGGTTTTGAATGCAGTTCTCAGAGAAGTGCCAACGATTGGAAGTGCTTTAACTGATGACACTAGTCAGGGTATCTATGTATATTCTACTGTTCTTGGGTTGCTGTTACCCTAGACATCAAACCTCTAGCTCATTGACCTAGAGAATATTGTCGGAGCAATAAACGGTAGTTATCAGCTGTTCAGTGTTCTTGATGTTTGCTTGTGTGGATGCTTGCTGTCTTGAAGTCTCTGTCAGTGTGCCTGAGCAGGCTGCTTGCATTGAGGGAAGTGAAGTGCATTGCATGTAGAACTCATGTAACGAGTGGAATAGGGCGTTTGTGTTGGGACTGGTGCACACAGGGCCAATAAACAGCTGAGGTATTACACTGGTACATCCCTGTGTCTGTTCCAGGGCCCCACTGTGGGGAAAACAAGAATAGACCCACCTGCTCCCCAGCAAGCATGTTGTAAGAGTCGACTGATTGGGAGCTTCCTTCAAAGTCGGAGTGCATCTGCCTTAGAGGCAAGGAACCAACAGTCTGCATACAAATAAGTAAGATGTGTAAAATTGATGCACATGCAAAACTCAGGTCCTGGAACAAAGCCAAAGTTCAGAAATGGACAAACAACCAGGACTTTCCGCCAGGGTTTACAGCCAGTGAATGCAAACAAATAAACAACACTGGAACACAAAAGTTAGTTAACAAGTGGATTAATCAATTCTAAATTATGTTTCAGCTGGATGAGAGTAGCACGTGTGTGGATTTCCGAGCTGATCGCTGGTATCCTGTGGCAAATATGTCCAGGGATCACAGAATGAGGGTCTATGATTACTATGAGCCAGGTAGGCTTTCTTCAGGCAAATATTTTGTATTTGCAGTACTTTTTAATTACATTTTAGAAAATATGAAATATGAGTTAAAGAAGGCTTTTCTCCCTTTCACATCTCCCTCTGATTGTTCTTTCTTTTTTCATCAGTCAATCTTTCTTTCTTTCACTCTTCCATTTTTCCTGCCATCCTGCTTTAACACTGGAGTATTGCTTCCTGTGTGTGATAGTTGGATAACTAGACAGTGGCAATGGCTTCTCACGTAGATGATGAATGCACACATATGATGATGAGGAAGCAAACTCACAGTTTAAATATTGATTCTCTTCTACACAGAGTATCGTCTAGTCGCTGTCTTCTGATCTCTTAAGGTCTGAGATTCAATGATCAAATGTTACAATATACACCTACGGTGTTCACAATCATCAGCAATCATTACCTTGCATTCTTGGTGGATTATTCACGCAACGCACAGGTTGATGAGTTTGCAACTCCGACACTGCTGCCAATCTTCATAGTCGGGCTGGGTATCACTTGAATAACTTCTAGTCAGGCATTCATCTTGAGAACTTACAACTTCTTCACACATAGTCAGATGCAATTCATAGCAGTCACAGGCCTCTCGAACTCGACCAGTCACTTTCGCTGCCTAATACCAACTGATGCGATCTTGGTTTCACCTGTCAAACCTCTGTCTGGTTTCTCCATGCTGTCACCCTTTTACTACTCAGTTAAACCCATGATTTTGCCAGCGGTTTCTTTCTCGCATCCTATTCCCTTGACTTACCCTTGACCCTACGTACGTATCCTGGAACCCATTGGGAAATCACCTCATTACAAACAGTTACTGTTCACTCTCTTCTTGATAACATCTAGCTTGTCATGCGTTAGTTTACAAGTGGTGCAGAACCAGCTATTAAGTAATTCTTGTTCATTAAAAAAAGCTGTGCTAGACGTTAAATATATTTGAGACTACCTACAATATGACCATAGCGTGGTCTCAAGGCATGGTGTCCGCCTCGAGTTCTGGAGGTTCCGGGTTCAATCCCTGGTAAGGGCTGGGATTTTTTCACGTGGACTTGGACTTCTAGTAATCTCCCCTGGTCTCTGGGTAGTGAGATCAGACGCCATTGTGCATTTTTGCGCAAGTAAAAAATCCCTTGGCTGTAGGAAATCGAAAAGAGTAGCCTAACGGAGTTAAAAATCTACCCACAGTATTTCAGGATCCTCGCCATACTACAGAGCCTGTGCACTGTGCTGAGCTTCTTCAGACTCAGACTTGAGTTAGAAGAAGAACGTAGCACTTATGAGTTACTACAACATGCAAATTCCACTACATGGCATTGGGCCAAAGGGCGAAAGCTCATGCGCCGCTGGATCGATAACAACAACAACAACAATGAGTTACTACCCGTGTGCCATGATTTTGATCCTTTGTTCAAACCTCAAACCAGGACAGTGAATTAAAAAAACAGGAAATTTTGTTGTATTCGCAGAAACAAAAACAAACACAGAAGTTCTAGACAAAGTGAGAACGAATAAACAAACCTTATGCTCAAAGATTACAATTTGGGCATACAGGCTCGTCTTACATGTGGCCTTTGCACTCATCTTTCAGACGACAGTTGTAGTTTATCAGTAAAGCATGTGAAAACAGAGCAGCAATGAGAACAGCTAATGACATAAATAAAAGTGATAATTTAAATAAGTCATGCCACATCAAAAAGTAGGATACTTTTCTAAAACTAGAGGGAAAAGTTGGAGGCAGGTAAGCAAGAGACAGACAATGGTACAATTTGGAAGTTAACATTGAGAGATGAATAAACAGCAGTCTAGAGTATACAGCCAGGGTAAAAGACAAGAGTGTTATACAAATCCATTACAACCAACTTTCACTGTGTAGATGACACCTGACTGATTGATATGTGAGATGCAGAGGTGTTGAACCAAATGTAGTGGTGCACCAGTACCAGGGGTCCTATTGGCTAAGACCTGCCTACACCTGTCTGTAGTTTTTCTGGAAACAAGTTCCCAGCCAAAAGCTTAGCCAGCCGAGGGTCGACATTTCAATTAAAGTCAGAGTGCATCTGCCTGAGAGGTAGGAATCCAACAGTCTGCACACAAATAAACCACATCTGTAAAATGGAATGGCAAATGCAAAATGAAAAAGTTTTATGTCCAGAAGTGAAAACCAGGACTTTCTGCCAGAGTTTATAGCCGGTGAATGTTAAAAATAAAGAGATTGATATGTATTTCACTAAACTCTTTGGGTACCAGAAGGTTTTGCATATATTTCCAAGGGGCACCATAACCTCTATGAACAATCACAGATGAATAACTTGTATAAGGGCTGGAAGTAACCACACAGGAAGCCAATTTCTGTAGTATTCTCTGACCAAATGCAAACAGTGAACACAATGTGTAATTCTTTAGATTCATTTAAAAGAACCGTTGACACATCGTGCATTGCTTGAGACTCAATGAGTTAAATAATTTCACATGTTGCAGGTATGCACAACACAACGCTGTACACAGTCGAGAACCTCTTTAGGATGAGCGTCTGCTTCGTATGTGGTTCCTACCAGTGCCCCTATTGCCCCAACTTTAACACAGCAGCAATTCTGGGAGCTGGGACTCCCTGGAATCTGCTGCCCATCATGGTGCTCATGCTGCTGAGTCTGCTGCTACAGCACAGGTAGCTGGCTGCTTCTCCTCCTCACCTGTCAGAGATTCCAACAGACTGCAACCCTCAGTGATGTCTGAGAGTTATCACAAGCAGGTCTGCAATCAGATCACAAGATTATGCATGTGTAATATAAACTTTGTTTTGCTTCCTAAGCAGTTTGATGCAGTGATGTGTAGAGTAAATCTGTTAAAATGTTTACCCAAGTAATATGATGAAACAATGTTTAGAATAGGCCTATTGTTAAAATGTTGTTTCTTATATAAATTGAGGAAATAATGTCAAGAATAAGTTTATATAAAAATTGTTTCCTGAGTAATTTGATGAAATTATGTGTAGAGAAGGTCTGCTGTTAAAATGTTTGTTGTTGAAATGATGTGTAGATTAAGTCTATTTTTAAAATGTTTCCCAAACAGTTTAATGACGTCATGTGTTGAATAGGCTTATTGTTAAAATGTTTCCCAAACAGTTTAATGACGTCATGTGTTGAATAGGCTTATTGTTAAAATGTTTCGGAAATGATTTGATGACAGAATGTGTCAAGTAACTCTGCTGTTGAAATGTTTCCCAAGTAATCTGATGACAGAATATGTAGAATAAATGTGTTGTTAAAATTTTACCCAAGTAATCTGATGACAGAATATGTAGAATAAATGTGCTGTTAAAATGTTTCCCAAGTAATCCGATGACAGAATATGTAGAATAAATGTGCTGTTAAAATTTTACCCAAGTAATCGATGACAGAATGTGTAGAGGAAATTGTTTGTTAAAATATTTCCCAAGTACTCTGATGTCATAATGTGTAGAGTAAATCTGTTGTTAAAATGTTTCCTAGGTAATCTGATGACAGAGTGTATAGAGTAAATCTGTTGTTAAAATGTTTCCTAGGTAATCTGATGACAGAGTGTATAGAGTAAATCTGTTGTTAAAATGTTTCCTAGGTAATCTGATGACAGAGTGTATAGAGTAAATCTGTTGTTAAAATGTTTCCCAGGCAATTTGATGATAGAATGTGTTGAGTAAGTGTAGTTAAAATGAATATCAAGAAAAGATATAAACCCGAACGAAAAGTATATTAGCAAGCTTCACAATATAACAAATACAAACAAAACGTGAACATTGCGGCTATTGAGCCTTCATCAGCACACACAAAAAATGTTTAAAATGAAATTTGTTCTACTTTGGTTAGATGAAAGGTGAAATTAGACATTCGGTAAATTTGTCATTAACCCTTTCCACCCTAAAAATGCTATTTAAAAAAAAGGAAAAACAGAAAGGAAGGACCAACAAAACAAAAAAAAAAGGCAGCAAACCCATGGAATTTTAAAAAAACAAAGATTCTGTTAAAAGCAACTATTTTACACGAGTAACTAATAAATTGTTTTAAAATGTATTTATCATTTTTGTTTCAAATGTTATAAAGATATAATGGTAGTAATCAGTCAAAAGAACAGAGTGAAGCATTAAACTGAATGCATTCCCCAGAGCTACAAACAAATATGTGTTACATGACTCATATTGTGACCCCGTGACCTCTATCACTTAGGCTCAGGGACAATTTTAAGTTAATCTAGCTTTTAAAATGCCATTGGGGTGACAAAGTAGCCTCTGTAAAAGTTATAGATACCTGCAGATCACTATGGAAATGGCAATATATCGGCATTAATGGGGCCATGTCACAACTGGAAGTGACTAGATTTAGTCTTCTTGAAGTGAATGGGTTAAAGACATTTATAGTAGTATGTGTTTATCAGACATTGTTAATAATTATCTTGTATATATTTCTGTGGTTTTTTTTTTTTATTTAACATGACACATTATATTAAACATCTGTGTGTGTGTGTGGTTTAGATTTATTTTCATTGCTGCAATGTGGGGGTTTTTTTTTTTCCACTGCTGTAAATTGTTTCTTGTTTGTCTGGCACCTGGCACCTGTCTTCCAGTGTAGGCTCCAGGGCCCTATTGGGTGGGGGGGGGGGGGGGAGGGGGGGTGGCACTACCCCTCTAACAAGCATGTCATAAAAGGTAACTAATTAGGGTGTTCTATTTCGAGTCAGAATGCACCTGCCTGAGAGGCGAGGAACCAGCAGTCTGCATACAAATAAGCCAGATCTGTAAAATGGACATGCATGCAAAACTCAGGTTCTAGAACAAGACCAATAAAGTCCAGAAGTAGACAGAACTTTCAGCAAGAGCTTCAGCCTTTGACAACTAAGAGGAAGAGGTTTGAGACAGACAGAACTTTCAGCAAGAGCTTCAGCCTTTGACAACTAAGAGGAAGAGGTTTGAGACAGACAGAACTTTCAGCAAGAGCTTCAGCCTTTGACAACTAAGAGGAAGAGGTTTGAGACAGACAGAACTTTCAGCAAGAGCTTCAGCCTTTGACAACTAAGAGGAAGAGGTTTGAGACAGACAGAACTTTCAGCAAGAGCTTCAGCCTTTGACAACTAAGAGGAAGAGGTTTGAGACAGACAGAACTTTCAGCAAGAGCTTCAGCCTTTGACAACTAAGAGGAAGAGGTTTGAGACAGACAGAACTTTCAGCAAGAGCTTCAGCCTTTGACAACTAAGAGGAAGAGGTTTGAGACAGACAGAACTTTCAGCAAGAGCTTCAGCCTTTGACAACTAAGAGGAAGAGGTTTGAGACAGACAGAACTTTCAGCAAGAGCTTCAGCCTTTGACAACTAAGAGGAAGAGGTTTGAGACAGACAGAACTTTCAGCAAGAGCTTCAGCCTTTGACAACTAAGAGGAAGAGGTTTGACACCTTTCCAGGTGATCATGTTTGTGCTATAGGGAGGCATATGAATTGCAGCCTGTGGCCACGGCAAATGTGACTAGCAAAACAAATATGCTTTTTAGGAGCATACTTAGAGACAATGCCTTGTGAAGCTGTACCATACAAGGAATCAACCCAAAGAGGACATAGAGCACAAGGTAGACCAAAAACAAGACTGAAAGATACCATCAGAGAAACTCTACAACAGCATGATATGGCTATGGTCGAGGCAGCTAGAAGAGAAAGAAGCAGAACAATTATGGTAAGGTGTTTGGTGCCATAGACAAGCAGTTGACCAAATGGTTGCAAACTGGTCTGTTATTCAGGAGGCCCAGGTTCAAATCTGTGGTAAGGATGTTGGATGTTTTTGGTCGACAGCAAAAATAAAATTATAACCTGTACATGGAGACTAGACTTGCCAGTTGGCCCTAAATCAGGTGTCGGCAGCCTTTTTTGATTGGGGTGCCAAACTTAGAATTACTAACTTGGTCCTAAGCCATGTAGAAAAAATCCATTATAAATATAATATCAGAATTTCCTCATAATGCAAAATTTGTGTTGGATAATCTAAGAATGTAATCTCTCGCTGCGCCTCTAGCCAGACACATACGGCCCCTGAAGCCCTCATATATATCTCACCTAATGTGTCTGTTCATAAAAATTGAAACAGTCGTCAGCTTATGTTTTATTATCAAAATCAACCAACAGATACTGTCTCCTAATGTTTGAGTTTGTCTGCAAAACATTTCACATCAGTTTGAAGTCATCACTGTTTAGGTTATCACTTTAAAAAAAAAATGTATTATTATCGGATTAATTTTTTATTTCTACATACAGCGTATGATTTTGTGTTCTGCTATTTTATGAGCTCAAGGACCAAATTATATAGTAATTTTACACCAGTCTGGTGGGCCAGTCAAAATTGCTCTGCGGGCTAATTTTGGCCTGCAGGCCATAGTTTGTCCACCCTTTACCTGAATCCTCATATTCCTCTGGCCTACACTCGTGTGAAGAGTGGTGGGTACAGAGCAATACAGACAGCTTTTAAAGTTAGTTTAATGTTGACATTTTTTAATCCACCGCAGTTTATGCCTGATAATAACTAGAATATCTTTGCCCTGAAATAAACAGGGTCAAAGGAATAAAGGGATACCATCAAACACGTGGATTTGAGAATTAGAGACTGAGACATTAGATGGGAAGGACATATGTTCAGTATTCTTTGAATCTTTGTATCACCCATCTGTTAAAATACCACTAATGAAATTTTTCTACGTTTTTGTTGTTGTTGTTTTTAAGGCTCATATGTGTTGAACAAATAAAATATGTTGCTAAAATTTTTTAGTTTGATTATGGAGTGCATAATTCTATCTGTATATCTGTTCGCTCATTCTGTCTCTCTGTCCCCAAACCCCAATATCTCTGCCTCAGGTTTTTTCTCAGTCACTGCTATTAATGGGAATGCTCAAAAGCAGTGTTGCCGCTTTGGATGTTTTACATCCAGATTTAGATGTTTCTCCTTGCATTTAGATGTCGTTTTTGACATTTAGATGGTAGATGTTTTTCTATATGTTTTTCATTTAAAGTGAATTTATCAAATCTAACCTAAGAAAGAGGATGAAATTTGACCTCTTAAATGCTATCTTGACAATAAAATTCGGCCTGATAAGAGTAGGAAAAGGCTGTTCAACTTAACAGCTCTCTGATAGGGTATAAAATGAAACAGGAACAACTAAAGCATACTAGAGTTATTTTGGATCTGAAGCTTCAACTTCATCACCCAAGCTAAGTTTATCCTGTGGATCTTGTAAGGCAGACTTTAGTAAAGATGAGGACATGATTCTATAGGGTAAGTCATATCAATTGCTATGTAATTTGTGACTCTTTCCATTTGGATGTTTTCCACGCAAATTTAGATGTTTTTAGGTATTTTTTGACTCCGTTTTGGATGTTTTTTCAAAGAAAAGTGGCAACACTGCTCAAAAGCAAGCAGCAGTGACTGGGCTCTTGCCTGGAAGGTTGAAAAAGCAAAAAATTGTAGGTAGGTGCTTTGCTCAACAGCAGCAAACATCGTCAAGTACAACCAGCATACTCGAAGGGGCAGCTTTAGGTTAAAATTGTGACTAGGTTACGTGTGCCATATAAAATAGCTTAACATTGCACGCCGGTTCTATCCCAATAATTCACCCCCAACTCGGGAAATCCACAGGTGACAGGACAGTCTAATATTTCAGGGGGTGGTAGGTGAAGCATATAGTTAGTAATTTGGCATATCATTTGCCGTGCAGTTGTGTGCTGTGCAGATTTCAGTTTTGTGAGCTTCTTGACTGTTTTTGGTGTGCATGTTTCTGTCTGTTGGTGCAATATAGAGGATGCCGTTTTTGTGGGTGTTTTTTTTTTTTTTTTTTTGCATACAGTCGTGGGACCTAGGCTGCACTCTCTCGTGGAATGTAGGAGGGTTAGGGCTAGGGCCAGTTGTAGATGTGTTGGGGTTGTTAAAAACGCTCACATTCTGGAATATAGAACCCACGATATCGCAGGCAGCTGACAACCACATATTTTTTTTTTAAACTTAATGTGCAATCAGGGATAAATTGCCAATTGGATTACGTTGGGGGTGGCCCTTTCAAGGGCCAATCATTCTAGATGTGCACTGCTGGGTTTGGTCACGACTTGACAGTCAGAACAATTTACACATTAGTAGATCTGTAGAAAGGTCAGAATGTGGCACCTGCTGTTGGGGCGGCAACAGCAGCAGCAGAGACGACAGACTATTGTTCTGGTGGCCAAAATGCAACAATGTCTTCCAGAATGGTTGCAGACACATTGCGACCCGCACGTTGAGCATGTGACAGGAGAACAACATCGCTCTCCTTGTCAGGCACCGATGCTGCTAATTCCTGGAAATTCATGGTGACAAAGACTAAACATAAGTCGCTGGAAAGATGGCGCCGGAAGACAAAGGCGCCGACAGAAGAAACGCGCCAAAACCTTGGCAATACTTGGCAACGCCTTGGAAGACACACAGAAAGCGGGAAAACACACTCTTACCACCCTCGAGAATTTTGAACTGTCCCGTGACGTCATTTGGGGTGATTTTTGGGATAGAACCTGCACTCCACCAAGAGCTCTGAAAAGGACTCCGGCAGTGTTGATGCGATCAAAGGAGAGATATGCACATTCTTTCCCCACTGGTAGCGCAAAGTTTAGGCAAAGAAATTAATAGAAATCTGGCACCGAGAGAGCACTGTTCAGTGTGGTAGTTTTACTGATAATGCCAAATGCGGCTATTAAACCCGCCGCCCCACTCCCCTCCAAATGAAAAATTGAAGCAGAAATGCAAATGTCTGTGACGAATCTTAAAGGTAAGAAAAGGGCAGGATTGGAAACGATTATGTCAGGAAACAAGCTGAAATAGAATCGTTGCTACACTACATCCAAAGACAACAGATAAAATTATTTGGATATCTACCCACCATGGAAAGCCCTAGCACTTTAGTATTATTGTCGCAGAGCTGTGATCGATAGATGGGATATTTGAGGCTCTGAAAACCAGCATCTACCTAGCACACACCAAGGCTCACACTAAGTACCTTTTCAAAACCTGACGCTAAAAAATAGAACAGGGACTAGAGTAAAGAAGAAGGATTTCCCAATCTCATTTTATAAAAGTCTCCAACGGTTTGGGGGTAAAAATACAACCTTTAGACAAGGCGAAACCCTAAAGGAAGTACTGACAGTGATAGATTTGTCCTGTTTGAATAAAGGAAGAACGTGAAGAGTACCTAACAAAGGGGAAGAATGAGAATGAGTACCTAACAAAGGGGGAAGAACGAGGAGAGTACCTGGCAAAAGGGGATGATACATATAGTAATTTAGACTGCAGTGGTTAGTGAAGAAAGAAATATGGACCGGGCAGACATACTGAATATGCTACGTACGTTCTAGAGACACAAGAGTCTGAGACATTGAATCGCGTGGTGGTGATGGGTATTAAACGAGCACAAGAATGTGGAAACCGGCTGCGAAGTAAAGAAAGAAGGTGTGCTAGTCAGCTGCTACAGGGTAAGGTGAGAGTGAAGACACTGAGATGGTTGCTGCATCAGAGACGATGTGGTCAGACCGATGAGCTAGGACTGATTCCCAAACTGTGCGCTCTGGGGAACCGCGACCTCTTTACAGGGGCGCCACGAAATATTGTAAAAACTTCAAAATTAATTTGACCAAGACACAATAGTCATACTTTTACTTAGGTTAGGGCGGAGTGGAAACATTTTAATTTTTAAAAAAGGCGCCGCGACCAAGAAAAGTTTGGGAAACACTGCGCTAGAATATTTGTACGAACAACAAGTAAAAGTCTTTATCTGCATCTTTCATTTCCTTGACTTTTCTGAGCATCTTAGACACACTTTATGTTGTGTTCGTTTAGTTCTCTGAACTTTTCCGAAGCCGCAGAGTTCGTTCTTTGTGCGACGCATTTAGCCGCCGCTTTGCGTAGAAACCGAGTCATTTCGGATGACGCCCGGTGCAATAAAGTCGATTCTCCAAAGAGAGAATACCTATGTTATGTTAGCAATATTGTCTTGTACACACACGAATGTACTTATATACGTACACACACACATATACCTATGTTACGTTAGCAATATTGTCTTGTACACACACGAATGTACTTACTTATATACGTGCACACACACACATATACCTATGTTACGTTAGCAATATTGTCTTGTACACACACGAATGTACTTACTTATATACGTACACACACACATATACCTATGTTACGTTAGCAATATTGTCTTGTACACACACGAATGTACTTACTTATATACGTACACATACACATATACACACAGCACACTTGTACACACACGAATGTACTTACTTATATACGTACACATACACACACACACACACACACACACACACATATATATATATATATATAAGAATATTTGTGTGTATATGCGTACGTACGAACAAATGAATGCCTGTGCGTACACGAAAGCTTCTCATGGAGTGTGCTGTCATATCTTTACCGTAGGTAAGTGCGAGGCGGTATATTTAAATGTGGATGATAATAATTAATTAACAAGACAACATCTGCAGACAAATTCTTCACCTTGCCCCGGCAACAAACCCGGCGAACTGGCCTCCCATTCCCCGGACGCATGCGCACTGATCCGTCACCTGAGTTCACGGTGGGGAAAAAAGAGCGGCGACTTGGTCAAAGTGAAATCCCTCTTGTTCGTTTAAACTTCCAACAACACGGAACGTTTTCAACTCAGCCATTTTATCTAGTTTTCTCATTATGATCAAGGGCTGTTGAAGTTAACCATGGTGATCAAAATGCACAACAGGACACATACACTTTGGCCGGCAGCTCTGTTGACGACAATAATTTTGTTTGCATGTTATTTAAGTTTGACTTCAGCGCAGACGTCGCCCCCGTCAACAGAATTCAAAGACGACAATGTCAAAAAGAAGAATGATTCAGTTCGCTACCAAATCATCACTGTGAACTTTCCTTATGTCGAAGTGCCTTACGTTATCTGTTTATGGATTCTTCTAGCAAGTGTGGCTAAAATAGGTAAGCAAATTAAGTTATCTTTTCTTTGATTTTATTACGGAGGTATTCCGTCATCATCAAGTATCATCTCTAACAGGCGCAACGCCACCAAGAAACGGGCAGAAAAAGGAAGGTGGTGGTGGGGGGGGGGGGGGGGGTCTAAGTACCATAATAATTCTTTTGAGTAGTGGAGCCTTAAGAGGACTGAGCCTTCTCAAAGTGTGCAATAATAGTTATAATGTGTTGCATGGCAAAAAATATAAACAACAAATTATAGAACGGCTGTACATAGTTGGGGGGGGGGGGGGGGGGGGGGGGGGGGGGGGTACTTAGCCTCACAGGAATTTTTTTTAAGAAAGGTGGGAGCTCATTTCAGACTCCCCAAGAAATTTAAAGGAATAAAAGTGGGGGGGGGGGGGGGGCTCAAGATGCCGGGGCTTCCGAGTTAAGGTACCCATAACCTCTAGTACCACGCGATATGTAATTGTGTATATCCACGTGAAGCGGGAGCCGCATTAGAATAGTGTATAGACGTTCGCCTGCTGGCTTGGAGATCTTGGGTTCGAATTCGCTTCGAAACGGATTTTGTTTTGAAAATTGACCTTGACTCCCAGGTCGCCTGGTCTAAAAGGGGATATCAGGTAATGTCATGGGAAGTAAAGGCGACCGGCGTGATGATGATCTCATCATCCAAACAATACCGATTTATTTATAAAATACTAGTCTGGCATCCTAGGTCAAAAGGCACCACTGGCGTCACAATGGTCTTTGGCTTCCTCTTGTTCTTCGCGTTCACCAGCTGTTAAACTCTGGTGGCAAGTCTGGAACGTCCTTCTCAGACTCCACATGGGACAGCACACTCTGTGAAATAACAAACATCGGAAAGTTTTCCACAAGAGCAGAACAGTCCTGATTTTCGCTCAGACACCGTCGTGGATGAAAAGATATGAGTTGCAAAGACTGCAGGCAATCTCGTACAACCCCACCAGTCTTAGAGCTTTAACCCCACCAGTCTTAGAGCTGTAAACACACCAGTCTTAGAGCTTTAACCCCAGCAGTCTTAGAGCTTTAACCACACCAGTCTTAGAGCTTTAACCCCAGCAGTCTTAGAGCTTTAACCACACCAGTCTTAGAGCTTTAACCCCACCAGTCTTAGAGCTTTAACCCCACCAGTTTTTTTAGTTAACCCAGAAGCCTAGAGCTGTTAACCCACCAGTTAGCTCTTTAATTATGGAGCTATCCCCACCAGTCTTAGAGCTTTAGATTCCCCATTGTAAATACCGTAAATCTGGGAGAAAATGTGGCTTTCCTGCCTACCCCCGGGATTGAAACCCCCCACAAGGAGTTAACGTCCACCAGGTCTCCGAGCGAAATCCCAGTTTAGAGCCAATTCCGCTAGAGAGCCGGGCGTCTTAGAGCGTTAACCCCACCAGTCTTAGAGCTTTAACCACATCAGTCTTAGAGCTTTAACCCCACCAGTCTTAGAGCTTTAACCCCACCAGTCTTAGAGCTTTAACCCCACCAGTCTTAGAGCTTTAACCCCACCAGTCTTAGAGCGTTAACAACACCAGTCTTAGAGCTTTAACCTCACCAGTCTTAGAGCTTTAACCCCACCAGTCTTAGAGCTTTAACCTCACCAGTCTTAGAGCTTTAACAACACCAGTCTTAGAGCGTTAACCCCACCAGTCTTAGATCGTTAACCCCACCAGTCTTAGAGCTTTAACCTCACCAGTCTTAGATCGTTAACCCCACCAGTCTTAGAGCTTTAACCTCACCAGTCTTAGAGCTTTAACCCCACCAGTCTTAGAGCTTTAACCCCACCAGTCTTAGAGCGTTAACCCCACCAGTCTTAGAGCCCCACCAGTCTTAGAGCTTTAACCTCACCAGTCTTAGAGCTTTAACCTCACCAGTCTTAGAGCGTTAACCCCACCAGTCTTAGAGCGTTAACCTCCACTTTAAGCCCACCAGTCTTAGAGCTTTAACCCCACCAGTCTTAGAGCTTTAACCCCACCAGTCTTAGAGCTTTAACCCCACCAGTCTTAGAGCTTTAACCCCACCAGTCTTAGAGCTTTAACCCCACCAGTCTTAGATCGTTAACCTCACCAGTCTTAGAGCTTTAACCCCACCAGTCTTAGAGCTTTAACCTCACCAGTCTTAGAGCTTTAACCTCACCAGTCTTAGAGCGTTAACCTCACCAGTCTTAGAGCTTTAACCCCACCAGTCTTAGAGCGTTAACCCCACCCCACCCCACCAGTCTTAGAGCGTTAACCCCACCAGTCTTAGAGCTTTAACCCCACCAGTCTTAGAGCTTTAACCTCACCAGTCTTAGAGCTTTAACCCCACCAGTCTTAGAGCTTTAACCCCACCAGTCTTAGAGCTTTAACCTCACCAGTCTTAGAGCTTTAACACCAGTCTTAGAGCTTTAACCTCACCAGTCTTAGAGCTTTAACCCACCAGTCTTAGAGCTTTAACCACACCAGTCTTAGAGCTTTAACCCCACCAGTCTTAGAGCTTTAACCCCACCAGTCTTAGAGCGTTAACCCACCCCACCACCAGTCTTAGAGCTTTAACCTCACCAGTCTTAGAGCTTTAACCTCACCAGTCTTAGAGCTTTAACCTCACCAGTCTTAGAGCTTTAACCCCACCAGTCTTAGAGCTTTAACCTCACCAGTCTTAGAGCGTTAACCCCACCAGTCTTAGAGCGTTAACCCCACCAGTCTTAGAGCTTTAACCCCACCAGTCTTAGAGCTTTAACCTCACCAGTCTTAGAGCTTTAACCTCACCAGTCTTAGAGCGTTAACCCCACCAGTCTTAGAGCTTTAACCCCACCAGTCTTAGAGCGTTAACCCCACCAGTCTTAGAGCTTTAACCCCACCAGTCTTAGAGCTTTAACCTCACCAGTCTTAGAGCTTTAACCACACCAGTCTTAGAGCTTTAACCCCACCAGTCTTAGAGCGTTAACCCCACCAGTCTTAGAGCTTTAACCACACCAGTCTTAGAGCTTTAACCACACCAGTCTTAGAGCTTTAACCCCACCAGTCTTAGAGCTTTAACCCCACCAGTCTTAGAGCGTTAACCCCACCAGTCTTAGAGCGTTAACCCCACCAGTCTTAGAGCTTTAACCCCACCAGTCTTAGAGCTTTAACCCCACCAGTCTTAGAGCTTTAACCTCACCAGTCTTAGAGCGTTAACCTCACCAGTCTTAGAGCGTTAACCCCACCAGTCTTAGAGCTTTAACCCCACCAGTCTTAGAGCGTTAACCCCACCAGTCTTAGAGCGTTAACCCCACCAGTCTTAGAGCTTTAACCTCACCAGTCTTAGAGCGTTAACCTCACCAGTCTTAGAGCTTTAACCCCACCAGTCTTAGAGCTTTAACCCCACCAGTCTTAGAGCTTTAACCCCACCAGTCTTAGAGCTTTAACCCCACCAGTCTTAGAGCTTTAACCCCACCAGTCTTAGAGCGTTAACCCCACCAGTCTTAGAGCTTTAACCCCACCAGTCTTAGAGCGTTTAACCCCACCAGTCTTAGAGCTTTAACCTCACCAGTCTTAGAGCTTTAACCTTTAACCAGTCTTAGAGCTTTAACCCCACCAGTCTTAGAGCTTTAACCCCACCAATCTTAGAGCTTTAACCCCACCAGTCTTAGAGCGTTAACCCCACCAGTCTTAGAGCTTTAACCCCACCAGTCTTAGAGCTTTAACCCCACCAGTCTTAGAGCTTTAACCCCACCAGTCTTAGAGCTTTAACCCCACCAGTCTTAGAGCTTTAACCCCACCCCAGTCTTAGAGCGTTTAACCCCACCAGTCTTAGAGCTTTAACCCCACCAGTCTTAGAGCTTTAACCCCACCAGTCTTAGAGCTTTAACCCCACCAGTCTTAGAGCTTTAACCCCACCAGTCTTAGAGCTTTAACCTCACCAGTCTTAGAGCTTTAACCTCACCAGTCTTAGAGCTTTAACCCCACCAGTCTTAGAGCTTTAACTAGAAACAGATACTCTTAAAACAGTTTGAATCTGAACTAGAGAGAAGCCAGCAAATATTACAGGTCAGATAATGGCGGGATAAACAGGTTTGGCAGACACTGGTAGACCAAGATTTTTAGAGACAGACGGATCAGTGTAAGCCCAGAGCACATCTACATCGCAAAGATCTCGCTGGCTGTTCTAAATGTGATTGTGCTGTATCAAAGCAAACTTCCGTCTGTCCTACAGAACAACTGCCTAAACCTTGATAGAGAAATGAAGTTTAGCCCACAGGAGTGATCCTGCAGGACAAACTATGAAGCACCGCCCTGGGGGTCTTGCTTTATACTCGAGAGTCTCGTGGGTGGGAGTCTTGTTATATACTTGAGAGGCTCGTGGCTGGGAGTCTTGCTATATACTCGAGAGGCTCGTGGGTGTCTTGCTATATACTCGAGAGGCTCGTGGGGGTCTTGTTATATACTCGAGAGGCTCGTGGGTGGGGGTCTTGCTATATACTCGAGAGGCTCGTGGGGGTCTTGTTATATACTCGAGAGGCTCGTGGGGGGGGGGGGGGGTCTTGCTATATACTCGAGAGGCTCGTGGGGGTCTTGCTATATACTCGAGAGGCTCGTGGGTGTCTTGCTATATACTCGAGAGGCTCGTGGGAGTCTTGCTATATACTCGAGAGGCTCGTGGGTGTCTTGCTATATACTCGAGAGGCTCGTGGGGGTCTTGTTATATACTCGAGAGGCTCGTGGGGGTCTTGCTATATACTCGAGAGGCTCGTGGGTGGGGGTCTTGCTATATACTCGAGAGGCTCGTGGGGGTCTTGTTATATACTCGAGAGGCTCGTGGGGGGGGGGGTCTTGCTATATACTCGAGAGGCTCGTGGGGGTCTTGCTATATACTCGAGAGGCTCGTGGGTGTCTTGCTATATACTCGAGAGGCTCGTGGGAGTCTTGTTATATACTCGAGAGGCTCGTGGGGGTCTTGCTATATACTTGAGAGGCTCGTGGGTGGGGTCTTGCTATATACTCGAGAGGCTCGTGGGGGTCTTGTTA